TTGCCCGTATGTTATATAATCATATAATACCACATACTTAATCTTTCCTCCTGCTTATCGTCAAACCCGCCCCAAAAACACATTCCCGTTATCGAATATACCAAACCTACACTGCTTTTCTCGCTGCCATTTCATTTTTTTAACTTGTGCCTCATATTTGTTTTACATTATACAGGACAAAAGCTTCGAGGTATGCTAATATATTCCTATTAACTGAAGTCGTTATATGTTGGTGACAGAAAAAGTGTGGAAATGACTTACGTTGCATTTTATTTTTTTCAATGGTATACTTCTCACAGTTAGATCCAGAGTTGTTGAGTTTTGGAAGAAACTTCTTGACGCAAAGATAGTCTTCCCGTTACCACAAGATATAGAGGAATCTGAATTAAATGCTCTGAAACCTTATTCTACGGTTGAAAATAATTATATCTGTCTTAACAAAGGTGTGATTACTGACTCAGATGGTATGCTATACCACAATGGAACGGACACTGGTGTGCAACTACCGTTCAAACTGATGGATGAGTTTGGAGGAATGCTGTGTTTACCGGATGACGTGTTTTTTCTGGGAGAGAGAGAAAAATATGGATCAAAACTTCTCATACGGAACTGTTATTTGCAGTTACTCGAATTAATTGAAAAGAATCGCGGACAAGGTGGCCCAGCCGAGACTGGTTGCACGATTACCGGTACACCTGGTATCGGAAAGACGTACTTTGGCTTATTTATTCTCTTCTATATTCGTTACAAATATCCTAAAGCCAAAATAGTCTGGAGAGGTGACGAAAATACCTGTTATCTATTCTCGCCGGAAGATCGAGTGCTAAAAGGGAATATTCAACAATTCGACGGAGCATTGAATGATTATAAAAACTTCTACCTCTCTGATGCACATACTATGACGTGGTATTCAGCCTATAAGATCCTACTCACATCGCCGAAGAATGAAAGATTCAATGAGGCTGTTAAATGGCCAGGTTTTACTCAATATTTTATGCCAGTTTGGGAACTCGAAGAAATCACCACGCTTTGGAACTTTCACTATAAGAACAAGAAAAATAATGAAGGTAAAGAGCTCACATTTGAATTAGTCGGGATCTTGCTGGAAAAATGGGGCCCAATACCTAGGTCAATTCTTTTAAAGTGGGACGATGAGACATATCAGCGGAAATACTATAATCTGATTGCTCAAGCCGATTTGGAGAGCTGTATAAACTCTATCGATACGGCAGGCATGCCCACAGATACCATTAGTGGTAGACTCGTACATCTTGACGTGGGTTCAACATTTACGGACGCAGTGTATCGTTTTGCTTCTCCAATGATATCTAACAGATTGATCCAGGCTTACGAAATTAAAACCAAAAGGAGCGTTCGTGATTTCATCATGAGCAGTTGTGAATACCCAATGGTCGCTGGATTTAGAGGCAACTTATTCGAAGATCTTGCCCACATCGAGTTGCAAAGGGGTGGTATATTTAGGGTGCGGTGTCTGAATAATAACTCAGAAGTGATCGAAAGACATATCAAGGAGCTGGAATGTAATTGGTTCATGAAACTGAAAGAAGCACGTAAGGGATATTATAACAGGCCAAAATCAAAAACATTCGCATCGATTGATGCTTTTAGCCTTGATAACAACACTTTGGTCTTGTACCAAATCACCGTCTCAACAAAGCACGACATAAAGGTAAGAGTCAGATTTGAAATTATATTTGTTGGTTATCGCTTGTATCGCTAACTCAGGTTGCGTAGGTAAAAGGACTCGACGATCTCAAACGTTTTCTCGGGTGGGGGAACAACATAAATAATATTCACCTATACTTCGTTGTGCCGCCGAACATCTTCGAAGAATTTCCACTTCAAAGATACAAAACCGTCAAAGACCAAGACAGTCAAAAAATTCCGATATGGATCAAGAATATACCCCAATATGCATTGGAAATTAACATGGTGGAACAGCGTAATTCGAAGCGCCATTATACAGATTCCGATAGTGATACGATGTTGAGAGGCGGTGAAAGTAGGGAAGCGCTAGAGGAAGGAGAGAATAAGAAAATGAACGTGAAAAAGCAAAAAAGAAATTAATAGAGTAGATTAAGA